TTCATACCCCTGTCTCTGATCAGGTCCTTGCAGGGGGTGGGGATTCGATCAAGACGACACAGATCATGCCAGGCCGAAGACTTGACTCAATCGAGCCAGCGAGGAGAAACCGGCAGGTCGGCATTGCCACTGCCTGACCTGGAAGGTTTCGCCGAACGGCAGCTTTAATGCATCTTGGCGATGACTTGGGGACCCAGAGCATCTTCATTCGCGAATCTGGTTCAGGGCGGACACCGCATGCTGGAACTTGATGGGTCATTCAATCCAATTGGATGTGATGCCCTTTTACTTTGCGATGTTAGCCAGGGCCAATGCAATCACAACGGCGAGCATACCCTCCCTCGTCAGATCATGAATGATGCTATCCGGATCGAGTCCAGGAAACGGGCGAGTCAGAGTAATGGCTGCGCCGAGGTGGCAATGTAACTGAATGTTCACAACCTGAGTTACAGCCGATGGAGACAGAACCAAATGGGGAGAGGTGGAAAGCGCCAGATGTGGCGTTGAGGATACGGGATTCATATATCGACAGTCACACTTCAACCAGCATTGCTTAGCTGCAGGTCCTGGACTCAGGCTCGGCCCAGACCCCTGGTGGCAGCCCCTGAACAGAGCATCGCGCCCTTGATCGGCCGAGCAATGCCCAGGCTTTTAGGCTTATTGCTGGTGAGCATACTGACTCGCGTGACCACAATCGTGCAGCCTCCCATGTGGCCCTCCGCAACAAGCGGGCCAGATAGCCCACTCGCACGAAACCAAGCTGCACCGGGGATAGTCAGGAACAGGTGTGGCTTGGGCGCTATCGCCGATGGAGCATGCTACATGCTGGAGAGGACCACACATCCTCTCGGCCGGCATGCCTTACTCTGGTATGGTCTTCTGAAGAAGCGACATGTTACCTCAAGGCGTCCTTGGATCCCGCCCCCATCCTTTGCAGTCCCACATGTAAGGCGCAGGCCAGAGCTCGGGTGAGGTTTTTGATTGCAATAACCCCCCAAGAGACCCGGAGAATAATAAAGATTGCAGTGGTTCTGCATGGACCCGGACCCTTGGAAAATGGGAATCTCCCCCCTCTAAACTCCCATGCTGCTTTTTGATCTTGCGTGGCATCCTCGTATCCTCATTTCGCATCTTCCTGCTTTTTTGTTTCCCAGGCGGAGTGAGGTATTGCAAGGGATTCGTGGCTTCGTTTGCGCGGCCTGGTACTCGAGTCGTGGTATGCATAGGGCATTTCACTCATGAAAGGTCTTCGCTGTACTTTGGTTGTGCTGCTCTGGGCCGTCGCCTTCGTCGTGCCCGGGGCCACACAGAGCTTGACAGACGTATTGTCGTCAACACCGCCGTGCGCCGTGAGTTAAACCCCTCTCCTCCCTTGCCCTGCCCAGACCGCATCCCCAGACACATGATGACGACGTATGCGAGCTCTGCAGGGCGTCATACGCTGAGGGTCTCTCTTTGGCTTTTTACTGATATCTTTTCTGGGTGTCCCGTAGTTATCGTGTCTTCTCGACGGACTGCAGTCTGGGAACTGCGACATCACGGATGTACGAGTCCTGCCAAGCTGTGCTTGTGTGCAGAAGTCATGCCCCTGCTAGAACAAGCGCGTAAGGCATTTTCCCCCCCAGTGTGAAGCCCGGTCCGATGAAATACAGTCTCAAGAGCAACATCGACTGGCCGGCTCCTTGCGCGATACAGAGGCCGCGACTGTGACCCGGCGCTTTCTGCGCCGATTTCCCTAAGGAATCGAGGAGGGGCGAGGTCAGAGCCACCGCTATTTCCTGTCTGGCGCTGACTCTGGTTATCGTGCTTCTGCGATGCGTTTCGAGGTTCACCGTCTCGAGTCGACTCTGGTGGGATGACTGGACGACCCTGGCCGCTACTGTTGGTATTCCATCTCGACAATGGACCGGGGACACGTAGCTGACTGCAGTAGGTCTTCCTGGGCGGCATAACAGGCATCAATATAGCAGGTAATGACCCATCGTCTCCTCCTTTCCCTGATGGTATTTGGGCATAACGGTGGGCTGACCCTCACCAGTTGCCAACTTTGGCTTCGGTCTTCATTATTGGGACGTCGACCCGACGAAAGGCGCAACGATTCTACAGGTAGGAGCACATGCATGACGTTGAACCACGTCCAATTGCTGATAAACCACGGACAGATGTTCTGGACGGCACAAATGTTCTATATCCTCGTCCAGGTTACAGCCAAAGCCTCAATTCTCATCCTCTTCTGGCGCATCTTCACGGCACGCTGGTTCCGCATCACCGTCTGGGGCGGTGGTATCTTCCTCGTCACACACGGTCTGCTGTTCCTGCTCCTCATCGTGTTCCAGTGTCTTCCCGTGCGAGCCATCTGGGACAAGTCCCTGGATGCCAAATGCCTCAACATCACGGCCGTCGGGTTGGCCGGCGCCGCTTTCAGCATCTTTGAGGACATTGCCATCCTGCTCATGCCCATACCAGAGGTCCGTAAGCTGCAGCTCACGTTGAAGAAGAGGGTTGCTGTCTGCCTTATGTTTGGCATCGGTTCCTTGTAAGTGATCACCCGAGAATTTTGCGATGTCGGTTCTTCCATGAAACAGCCATGATGCTGATATATGGGCCCCGAATAGCGCCTGTGTTACCAGTATGGTCCGCCTCAAGTACATGGTCTCCTTCGCCAACTCATCGGATCCCACATGTAAGTTGCCCTCCACCGTTACCCGACAGAATATGGATGCTAACACCGGCCCTCTCCTTCCGCCAGGGGAGAATGTTGACATTGTCATATGGTCCATGATCGAGGTAACGTGCGCCATCATATGCGGCAGCCTGCCGACTTTGCGACCCCTGCTGCAGAAGGTGCCAGGCCTGCTCAGCTCGGGCCGCACATCGAGTTCCCTTTACGGCGGTGGCGCCTTCAGTAACACCGCGGTCACAAACGAAAGGGGCTCCCAGCGCCGCTCCGCTCACCCTGTGCCCGGGGACTTCAACAAGTTGCCGGGTGACCACTGGGGTCCGCCGGGCCGTTCTACGGCAGCGGCGGACTACGCGCCCAAAAGGGCGGCGCATGTTGGAGTATCGCGGGACTCGGTTAGCTTGGATGAGTTTGAGATGGCAGTCATAGCCAGAGAAAAGTCTGGTGTTTAAGAGACTAAATAGCAGTGATTTGAGTTTTTCCTCTCCAGCTTCTTTAGCGCTATGGTGATATTCTAGACGATTGCAGAATTCTGAGTTCTGGTGAAAGATCCTATGTGATCTCCAATCTTGACGTATGGCCTGTCAGTGATTCAAGGCACTGCGACATCGCATGATTCCCTCGCCTTCCTACGAGCCGAAGTTGACTTCCACGTGGGCAACCCCTGCATCAGAACAGTCAAGTCGGACCCGTAATCGCCTTCTCGTCTGCCGCGACTCTGAGGCTTGATAGATGTCTGCATCCGAACAGGGATTTTCGACGATGCTCTCCTGTTTCTTCAACCGCACCTGCGCCCCCGACTCTCACCACAGACACGGGAACTGGCGATAGCATCCGAAACCACGAACGACCCAGGACCCAGGACCCAGGCTCGATTCTCATGGTTGGAGATTCGATCTTCAAGCCACAAGCGAGCTGTCAGTCTGAGAATCCGACTGTCGACCAAACACGCCAACCCCCCTCTGCCAACACTTAAGCACAAGACACTGCCCGAAACCTCCTTGTCTCATCCCTCTCATCCCGCCGATCACCATGGGGGATCTTCAAGACACACATACGCATATACTTTGCTACGAGGGCATACAGCTACCGCCACAAGCACGACCACGCCACGCTCCCCCAGAAACTTCTGCCCAACGCTAACACGCCCTCATCGCTCGTGCGTCCTCATCCGTCCACCACAAGCCATGTGTATCGTCGACATTCCCCACCGCTCTTTCTCTCGTACAGCTCGCACACAAAGAAAAAGCAGAAGACAGTCGGTCAGTCCCATCCCACTCACACTCGCTCTCTCCTCGGCCCGGCTCGTGAAACGTGCATCGCCAGCTCAGCCACAAGGAAAAGGGTCTCACTTCCTGTCTTGCCCTCTTGCCCCTTTGCCCCCGCCTCCGCGCCCCGGCTTCTCTACAGCAGAACAGTCCCAGCTCCCGTGCAGGCGGTGACCATCGGTGGAAGAACACGAAGCCCAAAGAGGAAAGACCCTCGTGGCATGGCGGCGCTGCCATGTCTAGAATAGGCAACTTGCTGCTCCTTGTTTGTTCTGAACTGCGCAAGCGAAGATGATGTGTTAGGTGGTACGTCAGGTCGCGAGGTAAGCGTGCCACAGAAAAGACGGTGTAAAGCTGAAGTGTCTTGCCTTGTGAGCCACAGCACGACGTGATGTGCAGGTCGCCGACTTACAGCTCGCGGCTGAAGAGTATCATCAAGACAACTATACGTGGACATGTGCATCTTCGCCTGACCTGGATATGCAAACGCTTTATTGTGTCTTGCTACCCAACCTCGCCTATGTTTGATCGAGCTGATCCACGCACTATTGTCGCGATCGTCTCGAATGCGCCCTGTCGTGTATGTACGCCTTTAGCCTGCCTCCAGGCACCCTCTAAATCCCCGCCTGGGCATCGCATCTGCGATGCCATGCCCTTAGTGACTCGGAGCTGACAACTCCCCATGTCCAAGAATCAATGATGTTCCCCCTATATCCGCTGCAGTGGCGTTGTCTTCAGCCAGCTATAGGCTGCGCCGAGGGGAAGAGAAATACATGAAGAAGAAATATTACGACAGTGGCCGGCGCTGGTCCTCATGTTGAGTGTGAGGGAAGCGGACGACCGAGCTGCATGCTGGATTGCCATGGGTCGTGTCCACGACTCGCGGCGTTGGGACTTGCACCACGCGTGTTGCTCACACCCCGGATGGCTGATGTTGATGCGATTCTGCTGCTGGCGTTTTTTGTCATCTCCTCACTAGGGAAAGTGAACGCCGTCCTGGTATCTCGAAATATAATGCAAAGACCGAACCTTTGTACCGGGACCATATTCGTGTACGTCATTAGCGATGACCTCGTCATCTTATCCTTTTGATTTTCGCTCAATCATCTGGATCCGGATTCGTCGCACGAAGCACCGGCTTGGCTACTCTGCGCGAGGTGG